CTATTGGCGTTCCCCCCCCCTCCCATCTGACCCACGCCCCCAGTTTTGTACTACCAAGGCGTCAAGTTCTACTCCCCCATCATCTCCGCCCTCGCCTGCCTCCCCGAGAGCCTGACCGTCGCCCCCGCCGGCATCGTTGTCGGCGTCATCGCCGCCATCACGGGCCACTACCGATGGTCGCTCTGGACGGGCTGGGCGCTGACGACGCTCGGCGCCGGCCTCCTCTATCTCCTGAACCCCGACACGCCCGTCCGCCACTGGATCCCGCTCAACCTCCCCATCGGCGTCGGCACGGGCATGCTCTTCCCCGCCATGGCCCTCTCCATCCAGGCCGCCTGCGCCCCGCACCTCAACGCCCAGGCCGCCGCCTTCTTCGCCTTCCTGCGCACCTTTGGCCAGTCCGTCGGCGTCGCCGTCGCCGGCGTCATCTTCCAAAACGCCTTTGCCGACGAGCTCGCCGCCACGACCGAGTTCGCCGCCGTCGCCGACCAGTACGCCGACGAGGCCACCATCGTCATCGGCATCATCAACGGCATGGCCCCCGGCCCCGACCGCACCGTCCTCGTCGCCGCCTACGCCGACGCCCTCAAGACCATCTGGCTCAGCCTGCTCGCCTTTGCCGCCTTCTGCCTCGTCCTCAGCGCCTCGGTCAAGAGCTACTCGCTGCAGCAGGCCCACGACCCCAAGCAGGCCCTCATCACGAAGCAGCGGGACGCCGCCGCAGCCAAGAGGGCGACGGCCGACGTCGAGGCCGCGACGGTCAAGGCGTAGAGGGAGACCTTGGTTGGGTGTGAGGTTTCCGATAGACTGGACTTTTTTTTTTTGGTCTGTTCGACATGGGATGGGCAACTGAGTTTTGCAGCGCTGTAATACTGTACCCGGATGAGAATAGACTAGACATGACTGTTTTTGCATCTATCTCGCTCTGCCGTCACGACCCTTGGTGTTCAACCTCGTCATGTCGAGCCCGGGCTGTCCATAAGCACGCAGCCATCAGCCTTTCATGCCCTCTCACAAGAAATGATGAGAAAGTCAGCCCATCGGCTGTCCCCCGACGCAGTCCCCGATGCTCCGTCCTCAAATACACACCAACTGCAACGAGTCGTGGTGGTCGTGTGTACAGCGGGGCCCCGACCCGCAGACCGTGCGTGGCCGGCCGGCCGGCCGAGACGTGCGGGGGAGGGTCGCTGGCGTGGGTCCGAGGCTTTCATGTGGGCCGCGATGGAGCTGCCCCGAGTTC